CACGCAGAGGAACAAGCCAGCAGAATGTCATTTGCTCGCTCATACGCACCCGAATGGCTCATCGAGATCTACGCGCGAGCCTCTCGCAACAAGTCTACCTTTTTCCTGGGTGTCTTATCCGGTCTCACACTCTCGCTAGCCTCGCTCTCTACAGCTCTCATAGCTTCGCAGCTGCGGGATGCACGGAGGAGGGAAATCCAAAGGAGGTTGAGACTTGCTGCTGCGAGGAGGGAGAGGGGTGCAAACGTCGGTCAAAGGTCGAAGAGACGGGGGAGAAGGAGAAGATCGGCAAGTGGCCTAGGACCTGATGAGTGGGAGCAGGAAGATAGTGGCAGCTCTGGCTATAGCAACGAGAGCAGCAATGAAGGCGACGACAGCGAAGAGGATGACAGTCGTGACAGCTGGGTGGACATTGAGGTGAAGAGTGGACACGTGGTCAGAGGGGTGGAAGGTCTGATAGGTGAGCTCATGCCCCTCGATATCTCCTGGAAGCGGCTTGAAGAAAGGAGGTGTGCATACAATCATCGTTGTCTTACTCACGCTGGCTATTCAACCCCGACAGGAAACACGCCCTTGATGCGCATCAATTCTCTTTCCGAACTGACGGGCTGCGAGATCTTGGGCAAGGCCGAATTTCTGAACCCTGGCGGCTCGCCCAAGGATCGGGTAGCGCTTCAAATTCTTCAAGATGCCGAGGCGGCCAGGCTATTGCATCCACACACGGGCAGCTGCATTTTTGAAGGGACAGTAGGCTCGACAGGAATTTCGCTGGCCACTTTGGCAAAGGCCAAGGGGTACGAATGTAGCATTGTCATGCCTGACGACGTCGCCAGCGAAAAGAGACAGCTTTTGAAGTGCTTGGGAGCTGAAGTTACGTTGGTCAGACCTAGAGGCATTGCGGATCCTAAGCACTTTGTCAACGAGGCTAGGAAGCTGGCCAAGGCATTTGGCACGACGAGCATCAAGGGCGATGCTGCGGAATATCGGTCGAGCCGCGAAGAACAAGATCTGGTTGTATCTTCGAAAGCCAAAGGCGGTGCATCTGAAGACCCGGACGCCTTGGAAGAACGACCGAGGGGTTTCTTCGCAGATCAGGTTAGTGGCTTCTGCAAGGATGGTGCACCGGACAGTCGCACCGTGCTCTCTCCGCGCTGTGGACACGAAGCAATCTCAGGTCGAGTATTCGATGCCAAGCTCATCTCGATGTGATCTTTTCGCTTCCATGCAGTTTGAGTCGGAATCCAACTATCGCGCGCACTACCGCGGGACTGGACCAGAAATTTGGAGGCAGACCGGCGGCTTCGTGTCTGCTTTCGTCTGCGGAGCAGGGACTGGCGTGAGCTCTTCACGCGAGACCCTTGAGAAGTGCAACATCCCGACGCTGACCCTCCATCTCTCGGCTTTCCCATTCACAGGGAACGCTGTCGGGTGTGTCGACGTACCTGAAGCGGCGCGACGCCAAGGTCCGAACAGTGCTAGCCGACCCTCAAGGCTCTTCACTCTTCAACAGAGTCAAGTATGGCGTTCTCTATAGTTCGACGGAAGCTGAAGGGACCAGACGACGTCACCAAGTGGATACAGTAGTAGAAGGCATCGGTCTGAATCGACTGACTCGCAATTTCTCGCACGGCCTGAACGACGATGCTGTAGATGATGCCGAAAGGGTAAACGACCAGGAAGCTGTGAAGATGAGCCGATTTATCGCTAGGCACGATGGCTTGTTCCTCGGCAGTTCGAGTGCAGTCAATCTTGTCGCTGCGGTCAGGACGGCAGTCAAGCTCAAACAGCAGACGAAGCACCAGCAAGATCACTCCTCTTCGTCTTTCAGCGCAAGGCTTGCATTCGCCTTTCCAATGCTAGGCAGTGGAAGTACGACCTCGCAGAGCCCAGGAGCATCTCACACGTATCAGGGCAGCTCACAGTCGTACGAATACAACTCCAGCATCTACGCCCCCGAAGAGGGAGAAGGACGAAGAGCTGGACTTGCGCAAAATGCCCCAGTGGTGGTCACCATCCTGTGCGATAGCGGATCCAGGCATCTAAGTCGCTTTTGGAACGACGAAGCCCTCCGAGAACTGGGACTGGATCCGGAGGATGAGGACATTGCAGAGATGCTTCAAACGGGCACCACGTCACCCCTTTGAAGCGACCAGCGATGCGACTCCGCGACGTCGGCGCCGCGAGCCGCCACTGCCGCTTGCTTTGCAGCCTCTACTTCAGTGTCTCTTCTCCATTACGTCGCAATCAGTGGAGTAATAAGCCCGATCGAGGTCGCTTGCCCCGATCGCAACGCTACAAAGTGCTTGACCTCATCGCATGTCAACTTTATCGCATGTACATTGATCAGAGTCTCTTGACACCTCTGTCCGAGGTGCTTGATGGTAGCTGCGTGACGCAAGGAAGACTATCTGACCAAAATTGGCCTCATAGCTGCGAAATCCGAATTATTTGCCACTATCGCTTTCCAGATGCTGCCTCTGGAACATACGAAGAAGGTAGTGCGAAGTCAGTGCGGGCTCTCCATGCTCATTCAACAGGCGGCAGGAATCAAAGGTCTACAGTGCCTGCGACGTGATGAGATTGTTGCCAGTCTCTAACTTGTGTCCCTGAAGCATCTGATGCTAGCACATCAAACAATGCTCTAGACGAGTGGGAAAGCTCCCGATTGCACCGCTCCTACACCTATCGCGCCTCTTTGTTCCTTGGACGCCGCAAGACTCTGGTACCCTGGCACCCTCTTAAGCCATATGTACGCAAGTGACGCTGTCCCAGCCGACGTCAAGCCCCTGAATGTCTGCATCCTCGACACTGACTCACCTCGTCTGGTCGCATCCTCCAACAACTGCGTGTCCACCGCAGCTGCAGGGCAGTGCACGTACCTCACTACCGACCCGCGGATGAAAGCTGACCTGACCGCCGCCTGTATTCGCTCGGAGAAGACAGAGTGGGTCAGTCATCACAAGCGGTCTCACGTGGAGCATCCTTGCTCTCTGTGCTAATCTGGAGTGGTCTGCTCGTGTTGGAGCTCGCATACACCCTGTGCTTCACAGCCATCAGATCTATGCCCTGAAGTCACTCACCAAATGAGGCCACCTGACTTCATCTCCCTGTTTCAATTGCACATCCACAATCCTAAAGTTCAAGAATTGATCCACGCTCTTTAGTGTTCCCGTCAAGCTGACGTCATTCTTGAGCTCTACTGTGACTGTCTGACCCGTCAGGGTCTTGAAGAAGCTGAAAATCAGCATTGTTGCGATTTGTTGTGGAGTATAGCTAGAGTAGCACGTTTCTTGCCGCTGGCAGTGCGATGGTGGGGCGCTTGACACCGGGTGACTGGACGAGTGACCGTGACTGATGCCTTGTTGTGTCGTGCAGAATACTGACTGGATACTTGGTCAGGTGAGAGTGAGCGTGAGAGTCATGATTTGGACGATGAAGGTGACTCAAGACTACTTTGTGCGCATCTTGGTATGCGCGACAGAGCGCCTCACGTGATGGACTGACAAATACCTTTGCCCGTGCGCAGACCCATAAAAGTTGCCAAGGTTCGCCGCGCTCGTCATCAGCAGATCCTCGAATCACGAGTCGCGGGGGTCCCGGCATGAAGGGCACATGCGACCACCCAGCAGCTTCAGCCATGAGCGTATCTTCACCTCGGTCCCTGGCTGCCATGGACTGTACACTTTTCTCTTACGATCAAGACTTTCACAGCATCTTCTAGACCCATACTCGGTCGGCATCAAAGCCTCGAAATCTACCGCGGACCTTCCTTGCCTCAAGCCGTATCTTCACCTCGGTCCCTGGCTGCCATGGACTGTACACTTTTCTCTTACGATCAAGACTTTCACAGCATCTTCTAGACCCATACTCGGTCGGTATCAAAGCCTCGAAATCTACCGCGGACCTTCCTTGCCTCAAGCCCCGTCTGACAGGCACTCTGCAGGTTCGCCTTGACACTCCCTGTTCTAGACCCGCTCATTTCCTCACTCTGCGCCTCATGAGCCTCCAGTGACTTGCCACATTGCCTCGGCATTGGTCGGCTGTCTGCGCGTGCAGCCGAAGCCCATGCATCGCTGCTAAGTTCAATCTCGAGAGGGCCATTAGCAATCTGGCCATCCCAAAGCGCAAGGAGAGTATCCTATAGGCTGGCCTGCCAACAAATACGAACCACCACTACTACCACTCACCTCCGCGAACAGCCAGACATTACCTCTAGTACGCCTCAGTGGTGGTATACCTGCTCCACTGTACCACTTGGAACCAGCTCTGCTCTTTCCGATCACACCATCTCGCTCCGCCAGCGGCAGGCTGGTCATGAGGCATGCTGGAACAGATGCTGAGCATAACAAAAGTCTTATGGGGATGCTCAAGGGATGGAGCTGGTCGCCCACCGTGGTGACGCAGCTCAAGCGTATAGCTCCGTCTACGCTCGCTTCGCTGCTCTGCTCGGTCTTGATCCTCGTCAGACCCATCCAGCAGCGCTTCATTGGCCCATATGCTTTCCTCTCCCTGACCTTCCTCTTGTAAGTGGTCGCCATCTGCATCACATGCTTCTAGCTTGGAGGCATCCTAACATTCGTCCCCGTCTTACACACATGTGCTCTGGCAGTCTATTCTTCTGGCCATGCACGCCCATCGGCGAGCACCTCGAAGGCGTCCTCCTTTCAATCACCGCCTGTGCCATCTCACTTGGAATATCCGTCTTGGCGCTGTGGGGTTCCGCCAAACTGTCCAAACTGCCGACGGGTGAAGCTGGAGAAATGTATTCCACGGTGTCTTCAAGAGCTGTAGGGGCAATCACGCTCTTCGTGCTCTGCTTCAGCGCAGGACTCCTCTCGAGCTTCATTCCACGCCTCAAGACACCCGTTCGCATCGCCCTGTTTGTTGCAGCCTGGAGTCTCAGCGTCACAAAGGCGGACGACGCCTCATCTACCCTCACACCCGGCAAGGCGTTCACTGACCTTTTCTTTCCAGCGTTGACCGGCGCTGCGTGCAGCACAGTCGCTGCCCTGTGCGTTTTCCCGCGCACGGCAACTGGAGAGTGGGCCAAAAGCTTGGCGAGCGGCTTAGATGAGGTGACCAAGATCGTCGAATGCACAGTACGCGATTTCTATTCTGTCCTCGATCTAGCAGAAGATGGCGACGAAAAAGCCGATCCATTGCAACCTCGACCCTCTGGGCAGCTCTCGGCTTATCGCCATTCGTTTCTGGGCCGAGTGACCCAACTCGATGGAACTTACCTCTTCGCTTCTCACGAACTCCAAATCGCTCGTGTGCCCTTGTCAACTATGCGACCCATATTGAGCAATCTCAAGCACCTTCGAGGATGGGCAGCGTGCGGCATGGGACTTGGCACCAGGCTGGACAGCTCTGCACAGGCGACCGCACCTCACACCAACAAGGCATTTGTCACCCGTGGCCGGGCTGGCGATCAAAGTGGTGACGATACGCAATCTGACAGACTTCGTCCGCACATCGAGGCTTTGGCTCGCGAGGTGATCTCCAGTCTTACACTCGTTCGAAATATCGTCCAAGTGGTGTCACACCAAAGCAGCTGGGCGGAATCCATTGCTTCCCTGAGGAAAGAGACAGGGGCAGAAAGAAGGACCAACCGTTCGCACAGTCGCTCCGCTTCTCGTACACAAGAGCCGCGCTCTGCGCTTTTTGCAGCGGCGCTAGGAGGGGCTGGCGTCGGCATGGGTATGGACTACCGCTCGAGTGCATTCTCGAAAGAAGCGCTGAACGCTCCTGACCGTGCTGTACTCGCTCAACGCAAGAGAATCAAGACGGTACTCGCCGCAATTCAAGAGAAGGTAGCCGATCCCGGTGTTGATCTGTCGGAGACTCAAACGGATGATGAGGCCGAGGGCATCCCTTCTCAAGGTGATACTGGAGCTGCACCACGTCGAAACCATGGACTTACGGACAATAATGAGCTCGAAATGTGCCCTTCAGAGGAATCACGAAGCAACTCAGCTTTCCTACTCATGAGCCTACTGGAAGTTGCAAGAGAATGCTCAACCGCTCTCAAGGAATCTCAACGGATGCTTCGGGCCTGGCACAAGCAGCCTAGGCGTCGCGTCTGGCTACCGTCCTTGACGTGGCGCCTCTTCTGGGCCAAAGCGGGTCAAATTGGGATGCTGCACATCCTCGACACCGCTGGTGGAGCACTTCACCGGGACGATCGAGCCGAGGATGACAATGACCGTGCACACGCTCAACGTGACAGTGACGATGGCAAGAGTCCTCGAGCAGATGAAGAGAGACGGCTCGCGCCAGCTCAGCAGACGTCGTATGGTGCACCAGAAGAGATCTTCGCCAGCGCAATGGTATCTTCGACGCAGTTCAAGTCCCCGACGAGATCGAAGAAAAGCGCTATCACACGTTTCTTGAACACACGCCGCGTTCTTGCAGTTCGTCTGGCCGTGCATAAGGCCCTGCAAGCTGTCACGCACAGCCCGCAAGTGAGGTTTGCGCTGAAGCTGGCGACAGGAACTGTGCTGCTTTCGCTACCCGCGTGGGTCGCGCGGGACTGGTGGCAGGCCCAAAGAGGGCAGTGGCTCGTCATTGTGAGTGCCGACACCAAAGACTTCTGACAACATGGCTCGTTGACTTTGCGTCTTGTCTCTGCCTGTCTTTCTACAGACGTACATTTGGTGTCTGGAGACTAGTACTGGCGCCACATTGAGGGTCTCTGCATTTCGTATCGCCGGGACGTTCGCGGGCGCCTTTTACGGCATTATTAGCTGGTACGCCTCTGGTGGCAAGGCACCTGCGCTTGGTTTCTTCCTCGTGCTGGGCAGCATCCCGGCAGCATACTTGGCGCTTTTCACGCGCGCGCCGGGTGTCGGTGTCGTCATGGCGATCACGTTTCCCGTGGTTTGTCTGATCCCAATCATCGACACCTCGCAGTCACACCACGTGCCATCGATCGCGCTCATCCGAGGGTATCAGATTCTACTCGGCATTGTGGCTGCTCTACTTGTCAATCTTTTGGTCTGGCCCTACCACGCCCGCGTGCACCTGCAGCGCCATATTTCCAAGACTGCCTCTTCCTTGCAACACCTATACCTCAGTCTCAGTAGGCAGACCGTGAGCGGACTCGTACCGACGAGGGAGTCCAGGCACAGATTCGAAGCTTTGGAGAGTGCCATCACAGATTCGCTCAGTCGATGTCGGATGGACCTGGACTTGATGGCTGCAGAAATTCGCCTCGTCCCCTTGCCCACTCGCGTCTTGCGCCGATGTGTATCGGCTCTTCAGAACATCAGCGACCTACTACTGGCCTTGCGTCATGTCCGTGAGACAGCGATGCTGCGATTCGGCGTCTACGAGCATACGGTCCTCAATGTGTTGGCTCTGAGGACCGATTTGATCTCGAACATCGTGCTCAACCTTTGGACAGCGGCGGCAGCCATCAAGACACGCGACCCACTCCCTCAGTGCCTGCCTAGCCCGCGCTTAGCTCTGCAAGATCTCACCAGGGCATTGCGGGAGGACCTCACTCGTGCGCCTCCCAGTCGTCAGCGATCGAGCAAACAATCCAGAGAGCCGCCGAGCTTTAATGTTCGGTCTCCGTCAACAGATGAGGATGGAGGAGGCGCGCAACCTGAAGGTGCCCTACTCTCCACAGCGGTCCGCAGACTGCGGCAGCAGCAGCACGATATAGGGGGTGGCCTGCCAACTTCTCCATCCAGCCGTAATGCGTCGCGCAAGTCACAAGCTCACGTGGTTTCTCTCTCGCTGTCGCACACAAATACTCATCATCACTTTGCTCCAATCGGTAGCGGATCTGCAAGTGGCTCTCACACTCCGATCGCATCACTTGCACCTTCAGCCTTCCGGCTACCCGATCAGAGCAACTCATCGATACTGAGATTCGAAGACAGCACGACTTCAAGCGACGCTCCTTGGCAAGAGTCCGAGAGAGCGAGCGATGCCCACAGTCGTCCCGCAGAGTCAACCAAGGAAGCCCGTGATGAGGAGTCAAGTGCAACATCCAAGTCGCACGTGAAAAGCGCAGACAAGCCGCCTGCAAGCTCAGGCGCGTATCTCTTCACGCTCGCAGAGCACTCGCTCTTGCAGGACATCGTCGAGCAGCTCGAGACGGTGCTGGAGTGCGTGCGCGACCTAGTCGGCGAACAGCCTCTATTCGTCACCCAGTACATGCCTCGATCGATGGTGCCTCAGAATGTAGGCTATGATCCTCACCTCTCGTACGATCCCTCCAGGACGCAATCGGGAATGGATCAGGAGCTACGTCGTCGTCATCAGTACTCTGCTTCGGCCAGTATGAATCCTAGCTTGACTCATCATCACGGTCTCACACTTTTGAACGAGCTTGCTGCGCACGAACATCGTCGGCTCCGAAGAACGGCCACAAAGACAGCAACTCAACCTGAGCGGATCGGCGAAGAAGAGCGCAAGGATGCACCGCCGTTGGAAGAACAGCAGGGCTCTCAAGATAAAGCCGAAAGCAGCGTATCCGCGACAGCACCGAACCTTCGCAACATGTTTTCGAACTCGACCCAATGAAAATATCTCAACTATCTACGTCATCCCGTCATCTATATTCACATTTCTCCACCCATTTGTATTTACAATCAGCAATCTACGCAGTCTTGAAGACATCTTTGACAGCCTGCATGTCAAGGGGATCTTTCGCAAGCTGAAGCTGAAGGAGAATCTTGGCTTTTTGAGGGTTCAATGTCCTGGAAGGTATGCTGGTGGTCCCATTGCCGAAGTTATTTCCTGCTTGGACGGTCCCGCTCGGAGATCTGCTTGCAGTGATGACTGGTACACCCCGACTCATCAGCTTGGTCATAGAGTCCAGCCAAGTCCTGTCCGCTTCTCCATCTCCTTCTCCAGCAATCACTACGCCTTGCACTCCTTGCGACGCTGCGAAGTCCAACAGACCCGGTCCTTGGTCGAGGGCAGCGTAAAGGATCGACACGCTGGGAAGGGTGTTTTTGGCAGGCAGAGACGATACGGGATAAAGCTGTCGACCAGTCGCTCTCGCAGGCTGGTAGTAGTAGATGGGCTCAATCTAAGGCACGACACACGCGCAACAAAGTCAGCGATGCAGTCACACCGACAGTCGGCTCATCCTGCAAGGACTCACGCCAGCGAAAGTGCCCAGAAAGCCTGCTTCGAGTGCCTGAAAAGTGTCCAGCGTTCGCGTGTTGCTCTTGAAAGTGTAGTAAGCGCTGCCGATCCTATCATTGAGAACGATCAAGGTGCCTCTATTTCTTGAGGATGATGAGATGCTCGCGCTGACAGCTTGGAGCAAATTGAAAGAACCGTCTGCCGACAGAGAAGTGGTCGGGCGCATGGCTCCCGTCACCCTGCGAAAGTTGTTCAGGGCCGTGAGCTGGCTGTCTGCGGGACCGAGACCGTACTACGCCACTCGGTGTTCTCACACGATCGGCCGTTCGTCGTCGATGATACTATCGAATAGGAACGCGGCCTCTTCGAGGGTATCTGTTCCTGTCGTCACGCATACAAAGTGTTCGATTCTGCTGCCACGTGATTCCAGGTCGCAGAAAGCGGCGCAGTCTCACCCATTGTGACGACCACTCCTGAGAGATCAGGATCGCTGTCCAGATCACCTTGGATCTTCTTGGTCAGGGACAGCAGGATGGAAGTGTTGAGCTGATTCGAGCCCGTGTTTGTGAACTACAGCGGCGCGAAAGATGTGCATCGACAATCAACTAGCCACATCCCTAGGAACATCAGCTGTTTGGGCTCACCTGCTCGGACTCTACCATTGCTATATCCTTCAGAGGAGGCACGGCCTGCAGCAGCTGTTCGACGGTCACTTGTCCGGCAGAATACTGTGTGGTGTCCGTCGAGCTGTTCGAGTTGCTAGCCTGCGTCTCGTGGGCGTCAGCACAGTCGTTTGAGTTTGACCGTCGACGCTCCTACTTACCCCAGCGATGGTGCCGCCTGTCGCGTAGATTCTGACTTTCGGTAGAGCTGCTTCGACCATCACGAGTATGTGTAGCCATGAACTCAGGCCGAGTATGGCCCATCCCAAATGACGAGCGAGCATCTTGCTTCAAGACATCAAAGGAGGCTGTAAGGTGATGGCGGTACTGCGTTCAGTAACGGTAGCTAATTATCCTCGTGTTGCTAGCTTTCTGAAGACGCACAAACGATCGCGGTGCATTTCCTGAGATCGAAAGGAATATCTGATGTGGTACTCAAATCACAAATGGTGCGTACATGTGCATTTCAAGGTTTAGCGTGGTCACTCTTTAGCTGCAGCCTCATCGATGTCAGTGCACACTAGGACGCGAGCTGAAGCAAGCATCCACCGCAGGGAAGATGTGCTGCATTCACAAGTTGCGAGACCAAGCAAAGGGTACCTCACCGGTCCCCGCTTGTCGGTCAAGGGCTTGTTCGCGCTTGGAGGCTTGAGTCATTCATTCTTCACTTCTGCGACGTCGTGCTCCACTTCAAGCCTCGATGGTGCACAGCCTGCTCGCTGAGTACGTGACGCGGACCATGATGCGCATGGACGTCGTGGAGGGGGTCGTTATAGGCATCCAGCAAGGCATTGATTGTGTAGAGGGGTCAATGTCAAGAGAGACTAGGCCGCTTTGTGACCCGAATTCGAGTTACGGCCGCGTCTGTTTTGTACACGCTAAGTCACGCTAAGTCACGTGGATTCTAAGAATCATATAAACGTTCTGTTCACGTGACTTGAA